TTCATCGATAGGATCTTCATCAATAGGATCTTCATCGATAGAATCTTCATCAATAGGAACTTCATCGATAGGATCTTCATCAAGAGGAACTTCATCGATAGGATCTTCATCAATAGGAACTTCATCGTAGCGTCTCACCGTGAACGCACCCGGCGACGAAACGCGAAAGGTAATAAGTTTCTATTGATCGCAAATACATTTAAGCAGTTAAAATGGCTAATTTGACGGGAATCGTGAATTAACCATTTCACTTGGAGCTCAGACAAATTAGCCAAGACCGACCTGAAGAAGGATCTCGACGACCTGGGGCTCCTCCAGCTTCCCGTCCCCGAGCGAGTCGATCTTGAAGGTGGCCGCCTTCACGTCCAGGGCGCGGACCGCCGCCGCCGCCAGCAGCACCAAGACCGCCCCTGCGTGAGCCCTCCTTTTTTAAGGCCTCCTTTTTCGCGCCTGGGGATCGCGGGGGGAATTCGCACTTACGGAATGGCTGCATGTCGACAGGAGGAAAAAAAAGCGGGAGGACCGGTGAAGCGAAGACTGGGAGAAAAAAAACGAGCCGGATCTGGACGTTTCTGCGCTTTCCCCTGCTTTTGTGGGGGGGGTTGCAGCTGCGGCGATTCCCTCGTGCCGTCTTCCACCTGATTCTAAATTTAATTTTCTGTTCTTATCTGCTGTCCTTGGCATGTTTCCAATCGGAACATTGCCCTCTGATATCTCATGCACATCGGGAAATTGCATGACGAAAGCGAAGCATCCCGATAGGTAAGGTTTCTCGCAAGTAAACATGTGTGAGTAGTGCACGGTGACATACGTATTAAATAGAACTGTCAGCCGCGAAAAATTCGCTTTTTCCCAACAACGGCAAATATATTTCCGTCCCGAAGCATTTAAATGAGACACCGATACATTAAATATATATATATATATATATACAGTCGATATATTTCGAATAAAAAATATTGGGTACATCTCGTCATCCCCTCCCTCATTTTCCAATGAGTCAATTTTCAGAGCTTCCTGTCGCAAATTATTCAATTTAGACACACCGCGCCAATTCGGGACAAGATGGAGAATTTTGCGCGTTTCCAGTCGGTAAAAAACCCGAATTCCCCTCGGAAACGATTTTCCGTCGGTTCTGTCCTTCGGCATGAATGATAGGGGACGCGTTCCGACCTCGGAGAGCCCCTAATTGCTCATATGCAAATTTTCATCGAGTCCCGCCCCCGCAGCATTCGGTCGATCGGGTCGGGTCGGCTCGATCGACCCGCGGGTCGGTCTGGCGATCGAGTCTGGTCTGGAGGGACAGACAATATATCGATGGCAACAAATACCTTCGAAGAAATTGCTCTTAAATTTGGAATTTTTTTAAATACTCAATTTATTAAAATTCGGGGTCCTTACACCAGATCGGGGCAAGACAAGGTTTCAACCCTTCTGTCTTCAGCCGCTGGTTTTCGACGAGCGCAAAATTGCATTTATTATTGGCTTTTCCTTGGAGAAAAAAAAAAAACCTTCAGACTTTCGCTCTGGAGTCTGCAGAGCGAAAGTCTCAAAGTTTTTTTTTTTTTCCAATCAGCACTTCAACGCTGACTCCTCCATGGAGTGTAAAAAATTTGCAGAAGCGTGGACGCAACGTTTTCCGCGGGGAATTTTCGCCGGAAAAGCAGCGTCTGAAATGTCCCCATGCCACGCATTTCATCCCCACCAAAACTCTAAAAAACTGAAAAAAGTGTAAATCGAATCCGAACATCCTAGAATGGGGGGGAAGGAGGGGGAAAATGAGGGGGAAGGAGGGGGAAAATGGGGGGGAAGGAGGGGGAAGGAGGGGGAAAATGTGGGGGAAGGAGGGGGAAAATGGGGGGGGGGAGGAAATGTGAGTCACGAGTCATTCACGTGTGAGATGCATCTCACATTCACATTCCTTCACATGCAATCACTGTAGGTAAAGCTGTAGAGCAAGCGGAAATGCGGAGTTCAAGTTCCATTTTAATGGAAAACTTCTTGGTTGCCTCTCACGGCGCAGCCGGTCGTTGCATTCATCAGGAATTTAAGGAGTTGGGGAGGGTTGGGAGTCGAAAATTCTCAAGAGCAAAGAAATCCCTTTAAACGCGGAAGCGTCGACCTCGTTTGCACATCGAACGAGAAAATGAAAAATAAAATTAAAGTTTTAAAATTTTCTTTCGAACAAATCAGTCTTGTGAACCATCGCGACTTTATTCAGACGGTGAGCGTGAACTCCACGGGATAGTGGTCCGATACGTCGAGGGCCTCCGCCTGCTCGAGTCCGAATTCCTCGTCGAATCGCCGCACTCGGACGTCGCTGATCCTCGCCTGGAGGTCGGGCCCCTTCGCCACCACCCTGCAGTTGGCGATCCGGTTAGATGCTTAGAAGGAAAATAATAAAAGTACGGTTCTGAATTACTGTCGCGAATTTTTAAATTCAGATTTCAATACCTTGATTTTAGTTGCTATTGTGCGAAGCTCCCTCCATTGAGACTGTCTTTTGCTTTAATTCAGTTGCATCTTATATTGAGGAATCGACGAAGTGAGGTGAAAAGTTTATTTTATTATAATAATAATTTTTTTTTTTAAGGAGTCCCAATTGATAAAGAGAGGTGAAGAAATCCTTGCGTTTTGCCATATATGTTTTCTATGAAGGTTATTTCAACTTTTATTTTGAAGTATGAAACGAAACTTTGAGGCTTTGTCACAATGACGTCGGTAAATTATTTTTCTTCCAGTTCGCGGAGGAGGGGGATTATATGGTTCATTGCTTGTACTGTACGGTAAACAGAACAAATTACCGTTTCCTGCAAAAAAAAAAAAAAAACTATCAAGAAATGTGATTTTAGTTGCCGATGAATCCTGGTCGCACCATCGCCTAAATGGATAAAAAAAAAAATGTTGACTTCACGCCTTCCAAGAAAAACTGGCCATTCTGACTTAGCTAACCCAATTTCAAAGTCCAGCAAAATAATTCATGCCAATAAAAATGAAATTTCGCGACGGTGCGAAAGGAACTAAACTAACAAAGCGCTTAGCTTGGCAATCCTGCTCCTCAAGACAGCAGTGCCGCGGCGATCACTGCAATTTAATTGCACTTTGTACTTGAGTTTCCGAATAATTCTGATGTTTTCATTTAAGGACGGTAAACAAAAAATTTTTATTGAAGAAAAAAACCTTGGCATCACCTGGAATACGCGCAGTCGGTGTTGGAGTTAACGGTGGTATCCGCGTCGTTGTCCACGAACCACCGATATCCCGGCTGGGTCCAGAGCCCGATCTCGTCCCAGTCCGAGCCCGACACGTAATCGCAGTCCGCGTTAAAGTCGCCCAGCAGCAGGAACTCCTACAGAACGGAATGCAAAGCGGGAGCAATGCTTCATCAGGTATTTTGCAGTTTTGTTTCATGTTTCTTAGAATTTCTAAGGAACATGAAAGTAGTCAGGAGAAAAAGGATGCCTAGTGAGTTTGGAGTTTAAATTTGGCTCTGCCGCAGGATTCGAGCTGTAACAGTGACGAAAACGTTAATCTGTTCTTTTATTATTTCAGTACCATTGTTAAATCCAATATTGTGGGTGGGTATGCCGCCCCAAATATTCTTCGAAACCAGCCATCAAGTTTTGCATAAGCTGAGCTTACCCTAACGGAAAAATCCTATAGGATCCTATGAGATTTTTTTTAACGCAAAAATCTTATAGGACTTCCATAGGATTCCTGAAGGACCCTAAAGGAGGCCTATTGGATTCCTATTAGAATCCATCAGGATTTTTATGCTTAAAAAATCTTATCGGATCCTATAGGATCTTTTTTTAATGGTACGCATGGTATGCGAACAAGATAGAATTTTCCTTTTAAAATGTAAAGTCATGAAACTATACAGAGGATGTACTGAGCCAGCTACTGGTCGCTTGCTTCGCAAGTGCCTCCTCTCATCTCAGACCAAGATCCGCCTGGAAGAACCCCCCCCCCCCATTCCTCCCCTCCCTTTCGGCTATTTGTCCTTACCTGCATTCCGTAGTTTTCCGTCACCCAGTCGTTGGCAGGGGCAAATTGGATCAACTCCGCGAGGGCGTCGTCGGGTTTCACGTGTATAGTTCCCATCGTGAACATGTAATTCCCTGCGACATATTTGCAAAGTTTTCGATTGTGGAAAAGCTTCGATGTCTACGGCGATGCATGGGTGAATGAAGAAAAATGAAGAAAAATGAAGAAAAATGAAGAAAAATGAAGAAAATGAAGAAAATGAAGAAAATGAAGAAAATGAAGAAACTATTTCTAAACCACTTAATTCATTTCCGAAAAGGGCTTTTAGGCTTTTGAGGCAACTCAACGATCCCGAAATGGTATCTCAGAATCTATGAACCTTCTCTGAGTGCGAGGTCCTTGTTTAATTAATTATACCGCTTTTAATCGTCAAAGGATTATATTTTGTCGAGCGGCCAGTGTCATTCCCATAACGAAAAATCCAATAGGACCCTATAAGGTTTTGAAACATAAAAATTTGATAAGATTCCTATAGGATTCCTATAAAAATCCCATTTAGAACATAATAAAATTCCCATAAGAATTCTATAACATTTTTATGTTAGAAAATCTAATCGTATTCTAAAGGATCTTTTCGTAAAGGTCGCATTATGAAGCATTCTATAAGGTGTTCATGTCTAATGGTATCCAAGGATACCATTAGATAAGAACTATTCCAACAAAATGAACTTCAGGCACAAACGCATGGCAATCATTAGGATGGATATGCAGAGCAGAAGGTTCAATGGCTCAAATGAAAAGTGACACATCCAAAAAAGGAATTAGCCGTAAAGCCTCGTACAAGTGATATGCTATTGATCCCCCCAACGAGGAAAAGAGGTAAAAGCAGGTATATTTACTCTCCACTGATCACGTGTATTACACAAACGAGTCGTGTAATACATGTGATACTTAGCATATTTATCATTTTCAATGATAAAAAAAGGAATTAAATGAATTAGACTTAATGCCTGATTCTCGGACAATTTCTTGCCGGCTTTGCCTTTCATTTTCTCCTGAAAATTTCAGCCCTCCTCAAACTATTCGAAACTACAGCTCTTCGACGAATGATAAAATTTTCGGAGAAAATTCTACGATTTTATGAAATCCAAAAAATCGAAATCTAAGTTTTCCCTGCATTCATTTAAATACCGCTCCGAAAGGTGACGTAGTAAGGCTCCCGCTCGAAGATGTCGTCCGCGGTGTCGTCGTAAAGGATCGTCTCCACCACCTGGAACAGGGACGGCTCGTACAGGAAGAGGTACTGCTCCTTGTACGTGGTTCGGCCGAGCCTGGGCGAGGTGTGGTTCGTGTATTCCTTCCCCGACGCTTCGTTGAGGAGGCCCAGCAGAACCGGCACGGAGCTGCCGTCCTCATCCGTCAGCTCCTGGATGCACACCAGGTCGTAGTCGTCCAGGATCTGCCAGCGAGTGAAGAAGTAGGAAGAAACCTGGATCATTCTTAAGCTGGGTGTCCCTAAAGGTATGGAAAAGTTTAAAAAATTAATATATCTCTAAATCATGCCTGAAATTATATGATTAAAATAGTAACGGAAAATGCGATTCATTTTTCAACATTTTTCAACCTGTTATTGGAATTCCACACAGGCACCATTTGTGATTCTGTAGATGTCCAAGCGATGTTCGAGCTCTTCCCACACCTAACACAGAGTGTCAAGCATAACAGTCAGCATAGCTGGGACGATTCAATTCTTTATTTATATATTACCTGTACTTCGATTTTTAAAAGTTATTAATATATATATTCCAAGGGCAACGGGCGTTTTCCATCGACAGCATGGGAAAAAGGAAGGTCCCTTTCCATTACAACCGGGGACTGTGTGCCTGTTTCCTGGACGGAACGTGCTGAGATCGAACCGAATGCAGTTGATTATTAACTCCTCGCTCTCGAAAAATGTATTAATTTTTTTTGCAAATGACACGATAATTGAATTCACGAGTTTAACTCGGTTCTGTTCTGCTCAGACACGAAGATGCTCACCAAGACGACAGAAATTAAAACTTATGATAAAATGCATGAAAATAAAATACATAAAAATAAAAAATATGAAAATAAAATAATAGTAACATTTATAATAAAAAGGAGACTATGGAAGGAATGAATATAATTTGAAGAAAAAAAATTGCCTTCAACCTGAAGAAGAATCTCGACGACTTCAGGCTTTTCCAACTTCCCATCCCCCAGCCTTTCAATGTTGAAGGTGGCCACCCTCACGTCCAGGGAGCAGACCGCCGCCGCCGCCAGCGCCAACAGGATCACGCCTGCGCGAATTCCCTCGTTCAATCGCTCGCCTTCCCCGGGGGGGTGGCGGGTTCGCCGGGGGACTTACGGAATGGCTCCATGCCGACGAGAAAGGGAAAAACGAACGAGTCCGGTTCCGGAAAGACTCGGGAGAAATGGCCCGGATCTGCGCGGTTTCTGCCGGGGACTGCAGCTGCGACGACTCCCACGCGTCCCGCTTTTTACCTCATTCTAAATTTAATTTTGTGCCCGTATCTGCGGACCTCGACGTGCGTGTTATCATCGTCCGCTGGTATCTCCTGCATCTGAAACGCAACTAAAAATGCCCCTATATGAAGCGAGGCATGCCAGGACCCTTAGCCCCCTTTCGGTCATCCAGAGTAATCTTCTTCAGTAATCTTCTTCAGTAATCTTCTTCAGCAATCTTCTTCAGTAATCTTCTTCAGTAATCTTCTTCAGTAATCTTCAGTAATCTTCTTCAGTAATCTTCTTCAGTAATCTTCTTCAGTAATCTTCTTCAGTAATCTTCTTCAGTAATCTTCTTCGCGTCTGTGAGCGATTGTACGAGTGAAATGGGACTCTCACGTGAGGTAATGACGTGGTTCCATTTAAAAATTTGGTGGGAAAATGTATGCGAAGGTCTTTGTCCATTTTCGTTATCGAAGGTCCCCTCAAGCTCGGGATGGAGGAATCGCTGGACTAATTCACTCGAAGCTCTGGCTTCAAGTGAATTAGTCGAGTGAATAGTCCTTCCACTTTAAATGCTGTCGATCTGGGTTTCCCGACAATCTCCTCGGGCTTTCCTGTCAGTCAAGGCGCACGTCCATTAATATGACTTTTTTAGTCATGACACAAGTAGTCATTGAAGAGGGGAGGGGAGATAAGGGAGAAAGAAAAAAATGCGTCTGGTTTCCTGATAAATATATTTTTAGCAATTACTCTTCCCGGAAAAAAAAACCCACAAACCCTGAGAGGAAAATACCTTTCAATTGTGTAATTAACGTTCTGCCTTCAGAGAGATTTCCTTTTCGTGCATCTGTGATTGTAAGATCCACCTCTATTCAGACGGTGAGGGTGAACTCCACGGGATAGTGGTCTGATACTTCGAGGGCCTCCGCCTGGTCGAGGCCGAATTCCTCGTCGAATCGCCGCACTCGGACGTCGCTGATCCTCGGCAGGAGGTCGGGCCCCTTCACCACCACCCTGCGGGTTGGGAATGCAGGACGGAATGGATAAACCTTCTGCGTTCGTCGACGTGATTGGGCAAGGCGCTCCATTTTCCATCTTCCCCCTCTTGCAATTCAATGCGGGTGGCTGGAAAGCTTGAGTTATTTTCTTTGCGCATGCAGCACTAAACGGCCCTCGCAGGAGTCTTCCCGTCGTTGCCAATTGACCAGTTTGGCCGTTCGGTCAGGCCGTGTTGAGCTGCAGGCGGAATTCCGTCAGTCTCTCAAGCGTTTTCCGCCATTCGCCCAGCAATTGAATTTAACAGGATGACTCATTAAATAGATCAATTTCATCGCTTAGCCGGAGATTGGTCCGTACCGAAGGCAGACCTCGGGCATATTCCTATGACTTTTTCGGAAACGTCTTTAAAAATATTTTCAAGATTTTCATTCTGACGAACTCTGATGACACCTCACAACTTTCACAGGCAACGCCTCACAGACGACTGAACCACCAGCAAAAATTCGCGAACCCTTGGAATCTGTTCCAAGCATCTTCGATATCCGCGAAAGAAAAACTTGGCATCACCTGTCGTAGGCGCAGTTGGTGTTATCGTTGGTAGTGGTATCCGCGTCGTTGTCCACAAACCAATGATATTCCGGCTGGGTCCAGAGCCCGATCTCGTCCCAATCAGAGCCGGACACGTAGTTGCAGTCCGCGTTGAAATCGCCCAATAGCAGGAACTCCTACATGATCGGATGAAGAGCAGTGATGCCAGATGGTGTGTTTCAGTGAATACGATACAGTCGTGTTTTCATTCCCTTGTCCCGCCCAATCGCAACCACGAAGATTGCTCTCGATCGTTTAGATGTACGTGCATATACGAATGGAAATATGGTTGGAAGAATCTCAGAAATTCTGCGAAGTTTCGGGACGAAATTTGGAACAAATGTGGATCGAGTGACTTAAACTAATCAAGTGCATGTTTCGCATGATCAGCTTGCTTACATCATAACCATTTGAAAAGGCTTATAGGGTTTGCAGTTGAAGAATTCTCGGAAACCATAAAAAGTTATGCAGTGAAATTCGG